TGGTCAAAGGACATGAACAAGCAGGTTGCAAAAGAACTGCAAAGTATTCACAACCATATGAAGAAGTGCATCAAATCACTGATAATAAGAAAAATGCAAGTCAAAACAACCCTGAGGTTTCACCTCAAACCTTGAATATGCAAAAATGATTTTTTAACAATGTCAGTAGTCAATGTTGGAGGCATTGTGGAAACATAGGCACACTAATATATTGTTGGTGGAGCTGTGAAATGGTGCAACAGTTTTGGAAAGAAATTTGGAATTATGCAAATAAAATGACTAAAATGTTCACACCCTTTGAACCAGAGATTCCATTACCAAGCTTATATTACAAGGAAGCCACCAATAAGGAAAAAGTCCCCACATACACCAAAATATTTATAGCAATATTTTTTGTGATAGCTAAGAATTGGAAACAAAGTAGATGCCCTCAGCTGGAAAATATTTAAACAAATTGTGGTTCACTAATGTAATGAAATATTTATGGTTCTTGTTCAGTTGTTTTAGTCATCTCCAACACATGACCCCAGTAGGGGTTTTCTTGGCAAAGATACTGGAGGGGTTTGCCGTTTCCTTCTCCAGCTCATTTTACAGATAAAGAAACTGAGGCAAACAGGGTTAAGTGACTTGCCCAGAGTCACACTGCTAGGAAGTGTCTGAAGCCATATTTGAACTCAGGAAGGCTCATCTTCCTAACTTCAGGCCCAACACTCTAGCCACAGTGCCACCTAGCTGCCTATAACGGAACATGACTATGCTATAAGAAATGATATGTGTGTGATGAATACAGAGAAGCATGGAAAGATCTAAAAGAACTAATCCAGAGAGAAGTAAACAGAGCCAAGAAAACAACATACACAGTTAACTACAACAATGTAAATGGAAAGAATAACACACCAAAAAATCAAAAGTAAAAATTAACAAAATTATAAGGACCAAAGAGTATTTGAATGAAAAGATACAAGAAAATAGTGCCAACCCATCCTTTGGGCAGGTGGGAGGTCTACAGGCATTACAAATTGCATTATTTTTAAAACTTTTTCAAAGTACCAATCAGTTTGCTGAGTTTTTACCCCTTCTCTAAAAAATATTATTTATCAAATGAGATGGCTCACAGGGAACGGGAGGGAGGGGATACATGGATACACTAAATGTGTGATACACTAAGATGTGTCACTTAACCCCAATTACCTCACCAAAAAAATAAATAAAATAAAACAAAATAAGGATGAAGGGGGAATAGCACTTCCAGACCTTAAACTATATTAAACTATGGTGATGGAAGAAAAAGAAAATATGAATAAAAACTTGCTTTAAAAATATTTTTAAAAAGACTAGAACTCTAGCTCTATTCCCCTTCCATTAAACCATGAAGCCCCAACTCTGAATCAGAATTCATTTTTCCTCCCTCCTACCAGGAGTATGTTTGTAAAAGTTTAACAACTGTCCAGGAAAAAAAAGGACACAGAATATACTTTTAAATTTAATCTACATTAACATTTTCTTCATTACTTCCTTACTATAAAATTAATAAAACAATAAATCAAGCCCTGATTTGTAGGGTTTGCTGCTTTTCAAGGTGTAAACGCTCACACTGAAAATTTAACAACATGTTCTCTAGAGCTGATAGGACATGGTTCCAGCACATCCCTGCCTCCCACCCAGAAGCTCCCATTTTGGATTCTCTAATAGAAGCTGTCATTCAAGGATCAATTGAAAAAAAAACAAAATGTTTAATATGGAAATGGGAAGACAAGACAGGAATGAGATCACTAGTTTCAATTATTTGAAAGGCTGTCATAGGAAAGAGAAAGTACAGCAACTCCAGAGGGTAGAACTTATAGATAATGTATGGAAGTTACAGAGAGACAAATTTGAGCTCTTTTTTTTTTTTGGAAGAACCTTCTAACAATTAGAGTAGACCAAACATAAATGACTCAAGATAGTGAACTCCCTGGCATTTGAAGCATTCAAAAAAAGCCAGAGAGGTCAATCATCTCTCCCACATGCCTTACAAGGAATTCCTATGATCGGCCTAGAAATTGAAATAATGACCTCTTAACTCTAAGGTTCTAGTCAGTCAGTCAAGCATTTATTTATTAAGTGGGTCAGGCACTGTGCTAGGAATTCTAGGATTCTATCTGCCCTGGGTGACTTGTAATTTAATCCATTCAGCTCCCCAATGCTGTCCTAGCTGATACATCAGCCAGTGGAGAAGCACATGGTCCATTTTATCTGTTGAGACTTATAACCCAAACCATTCTTCAAATCCCATTGGATCGTTCTCCTATTCACCACTCTTCTTGCCATGCATCCTGCAACACCACCGTATACAGACCTATACTCCCTCCCACTTCTTGTTTTGGGATCAGTAATCAAATCAACACTCTCCAACCATCTCATGGACCCACAACTATCTTGTGATACAACTTCTACCCTAGTGGTGGGAAGTCGGGGTGGAGAGGGAGGTCTTAATTAATTGACTGCCTCTCCCCTATCACTTTTTCTGGAAATCCCCAACAGTGCTTCACTTCATTCTCTATTTTCTAGCCATCTTCTCCATAGCTTCCCCAATTACTTAGCCGCTTCATACTGTTATCCTACTTCACCGTCTCCAATTCTGGAACCACAAATCATGATTAAATCAGTTCTAACATTTGTTTCTGCAAGAGTATTTGGCCCCACGGGGCAGCTAGGTGGCGCAGTGGATAGAGCACTGGACCTGAGTTCAAATCCAGCCTCAGACCAAAACACTTGATACTTACTAGCTGTGTGACCCTGGGCAAGTCACTTAACCCCAAATTGCCTAAAAAGCAAAAAAAAACCCCACAAAAACAAAAAGTATTTAGCCCCAGTCAATGTTCCTCCCTGCTTAACACTCTGCTATGTATGTGCTCTCACCTTTTAGAGTGTAAGCTCCTTCCTGTGAATTGGTCATTCTGGAAAACAATTTGGAACTATATCTTCAGAGCTATTAAACTGTACATACCTTTTCTTTTTTTTTTAGGCAATTGGGGTTAAGTGACTTGCCCAGGGTCACACAGCTAGTGTCAAGTGTTTGGTCTGACGCTGGATTTGAACTCAGGTCCTCCTGACTTCAGGGCCCGTGCTCTGTCCACTGCACCACCAAGCTGCCCCTTGTATATACCTTTTGACCCAACAATACCATAAAAGGCCTATACCAGCAAAGAGCTAAAAGAAAGAGGAAAAGTGCCTCTATGTACCAAAATATTTCTAGCAGTCTTTTTCGTAGCAGCCAAAAATTGGAAGCTAAGGGACCATCCTCCTATTTGGGGAATGGAGGAGGGGGTGTTGTGGTGGTGGTTCAGTGTGGAGGGTAGTGAGTAGGACAGATTATAAATGCATCTAAAATATATTCATTTTTAAAGTGGAATGAATAAAAAAAAAGTATTACATACCTACTAAGTGCTGGACACAGTGCTAAATCAGGGTATATAAAAAGAAGCAAAAGACAGTCCCTGGGGCAGCCAGGTAGCACAGTGGATAGAGCACCCTGGAGTCAGGCAGACCTCAGTTCAAAGCCAGACCAGACTCTTGACACTAGCTGTGTGACCCTGGGCAAGTCACTTAACCCCAATTGCCTCACCCTCCCCAAAATAAAAAGACAGTCCCTGCCCTCAAGGAATTTACAATTTAATGGAAATCAGTAGGTGTTCTAAATCAATCTCCTTGAGGGCAGGGACTATTTGTTTTGTATTTGTATACCTAGTGTTTAGTACTGGGTCTATCACAAGTTGCTGTTGTTTGCCATTTCCTTATCCAGTTCATTTTACAGATGGAGAAACTGCAAAGAGTAAGGTTAAGTGACCTGCCCAGGGTCATACTGCTAGAAGGTGTTGTAGGCCCCATTTGAACTCGTCTTACTGACTCTGGGCAGCTAGATGGCGTGGTGGATAGAGTGTGTATGCCCTGGATTCAGTAAGACTCATCTTCCTGAGTATCATCTTCCATTATCTCTGCCAAGGAAACCCCAAATGGGGTCATGGAGTACAGGACTCAACAACAACTTCCTGACTCCAGGCCCAGCCCTCTATCCTCTTTGCCACCTAGCTGCCCCTGTCTACTACCAGCTACTACTGCCCTAGCTACTACATTCACGTAGTAAGCACTTAAAAATCCCTTCCTGGAACACCATTAACGTATTTGCTATCTCCCCCAATTAGAAGGTAACCCCTAGAGGACAAAGACTGTTTTATGTTGCATTTTGTTTCCACAGCACTTAATACAAAGCAAGCCCTTAATAAATTATTTTCTTCCGTTCAAAGACGTGAGAAAATGCCGAATGATGAAAACGGAAATATCCAAATTTCTGGTTTCTGCCCCAGTACAGTTAAGGAGCTCCTCTCACTGACTCCCTGCCTTATTTTTCTGAGCACTCTCAAATGAAACCATTTCTATTATCCAGGTGGGGTGCTGCTAGGAGCCTTCCAGGAGGCAGAAGGGGCGGGCCGAGCTGAAGGGGAATAAGACATTATCTAACTGAGTGGAAAGTACCCGCAAAGGTTGGGAAGCTGATGTATTTATTGCTAATGAGATGAGTGACCTGAATCCATCCCAGGAAGCTTAGAGCTAGTCGGATAGAGGCTGATTGGACCATTGAGCGGGAAGTTGGTTGCTGTAGCAACCTGCTCCGGGAGAATATGGGCCAAAACTCAAATTCCACCGCTGCTACCCACAAATAATTTGCAAAACGAGAGGGTTGAACTAGATAGTCTCTAAGTTCATTTCTGACTCTAAATCATACGCTCCTATGGATCCTCTTCTTCCTACACCTTTGCAACACTCTCTCCCATTTCCTCCAGTCTCCACCCCCCTTAACTTCCTCCCCACAGCGTGCTTCTCTTCCACGTGGCTCTGTTTACATCAGTTGCCTGGGAAACCCAGGCTGGGAGGAGCTCCGCAGGTCACAATAATAAAGAGCCAATGGGTGCCCCACGTCTCAGTGACGCGAGGACGCATGGGGCGTGGCCAGGCCGCCCTGGAACGCCGTGAGGCGATTGCCCGCTGGGTGGCGCTGTTCTCCCGGGGAGGTCTTCACTAGGGCCCCTGGCGGAGGTGGGGAGAGGCGGGCAGGAGCCAGGGCCAAGGAGCCCTCTGCGTCAGCTGTTGCTCACTGCGCCGCGCCAGTGTCCGCAGCTCCATGCCTGTTTTCGGCTTGGCACATCCACCCTTAGAGGACCAGGTAGGTGCCACCTGTTCGGGATTGCGGCGGGGGGAGGGAGGGGAGCGACCCCCGCTGGGGGAGTGCCCGAGGTGGGCGCCGGCTGTTGCCCGGCAGAGCGGCACGAACGTGCCCCCGGAGCCAGAGCGGACACCAGGGGCGTGGGGGTGGGGAGCCGAGGTGCGGGGGGCTCGAGCTGCGAGGGGGGAGTGTCCGCTGTGCCAGGGCTGGCTCCGGCTCTGGGTACCAGCCTGGCGTGCCCGGGTCGAGGGTGCCTGGGTGGATTTCCGAGGAGCGGGATGTGTGGTGTGTTGTAGCCCATTGTGACAGGAAGGTTGTGTGCCGCGCGTTTACTGACCCCTCTGGAGGGTTTATCGGGGGAGGGGGGGCGCCGGGGGGGGAGGGGAAGAGGAGGCGAGGGAAGAGACAGACAGACAGACAAGATAGTGTGATCTGACTGTGCCCCGGGGGCAGGCAGCAGTTAAATGAACAGTGGATCTCAGACCAGAGGAGGTATCTTTACAACCGGGCCCCCCTCCCGTGCCCTCATCACCCAAACCAGCAACTTAAACTTCACAGTTAAGAGATCTCTCATAATAACGATAGTTGGTCACATTTATATAGCGCTTTAAGGTTTACAGAGTGCTTTCCCATATTACTTTTCCCCTCCTCCTGTAGGACTGAACATTCCCATTTCCACCTTGCCCAGCACTTAGGTTTGAGGATAGAGAGCTGGGTCTCATTAGTAGGGGAGAGTTGGGGGGGGGGGAGATAAACTAAGAAACTACCCATTGCCTGAGGCTTACAGAGTTGTGAGAGACTGAGTAAAGCTTGGAGAGGGATCAGGTGGTTGGAAGAGCTGAAACTGAACCCCTTTGATGCTGTAGACTCATGCCCACTTGGGTCAGGGAATGAGGACTGGAATGAGGGCCTGAGTGCATCATCAGGACCCAGTGCTGAGTCAGTGGCATCAGCTGGGACAGGGTGGAGACAGGTGCCTTGAGACACCTAAATGAAGGTGGGCTACGACAAGGACTGTGAAACTCTTGGGGAGCAAGATGGAAACAAAGGCCTAGAAAGGTGAGAAATGCCATTATTTCCCTCTATATCTAGTATGAAGGCAGAGCCCTGTGGAATGGGCACATTTTATAGCAAGGGTAGGATTCAGTTGAGCATTTGCCTAGTCACCTGTGGGACCTTGTCCTTTCCCCATTCTTTTAAGCCTGAAGTAAACAGCAGTGGTCTGAACTCCTGGACAGATACTTGATGTCTCCTTGACTAAGGCATCCTGGGAATTTGTTTAGCCTACTTTGACACTGCTATGGTAGTGGGACCAATCCTGCCCTGGTTATGAGAACCAAGGGATTTATAGGTCGAAGCATGAAAGAAAGCTTTGGAGTTGCTTTTTAACTTTAGAAGCAAGTCTGCCACTTAGAGTTGACAAGCAGGACTCTTCTTCCTAGAAACCTGTAACCTCCAGATAATTTCAGTCTTATGCCTCCTTTCACCCCAACCTACCACCAATGCACCCTGCCACCTTTTCTCTTACCCCCTTCTTCACATTGAGCCTCTTCTTGTGCCACTTCTTACTGTACCCTTCCCTGAGTTCTTTAAAAGTCATCCCCTGCCTGGCACCTGCTCATTAGGGACAGTACCACCCCACGCCCCATTGGGTGGGCACAGCACTGCCCCTTTAAGTCTCTCTGGATCCTGGAATGTGAGTGAATTGCTGTAGCCATCCCTGTGAGGTCAGATAAGATACTATATATATCAGAGCCAGTAACCTGAGCTCCGGATTACCCAGCCTGGAGTCGGGCTTCACTCCTCCACCCTCCACTCCATCCTCTACCCCACTGGGGAAGGAGAGGCCCCCAGAGTCTGATCAATCTTTTTCCCCTGGACACAGGTCAGTGACTGCCCCCCTATGCATCTAAACATATGTAGGTGCTAGTGCCTGGTTCCTGCCCTGCTAATAGGCTTGGGGGAGTTGTGGGGGGAGGAGTGGTGGGTGAAGATGGCAGAAGATTATCTATCTACCCAGCCAGGTCTAGTGCTTCGAGCCAGGCCAAGACCTTAGGAGATGGAGAGCAGAGGAGAGACAAGATCTGGCCAAGAAATGGAAAGAACAAGCTAGGCAGTAGGTTTAGGAGACCTCTTCTTAAGGGTTTCCATATTGCCTGAAATGTCCAGAAGACCACTGTATGTTCATGGTAGTAGTGAAGCAAGTTTGGGAGTACTGATCCAGGGGCACTAGCACCATTTTTTGCTTTCTCTGGAAAATATGAAGATATGCTTCCCAACTAAGATGCCACCCTGGGCCCACATACACACCTTCTTTTTCAATTATTCAGTGTTAAAGCCTTAATCTGATATCTGGGTCGTACTTCCTTATCTTCCCCACCAGGCTCCTAAGAAACTTGTAGGAAACATTAAGGGGGTTGCATTTTCCTGACTGATTTCTAAAAGAGTCAGAGTTTGTTAATCACATAGGGTATAGTGTGCTAGCCCCTGATAGATTTAGCTTGCCAAAAGAAGGTGAGAGAAGGCTCAGGCGAGGGGAGGAGGTCTGAGCATAAACAGAGCCCTGGACCAGTGAGAATGTAAACTCGCCGTCCCCCACCTCTCCTGTCTACCTTTGCTTCTTTCTCTGCCAGAACGCCCCCAGATCTGATCTGTCTCGGATTGGCCCTCATGCCTTAGTGCCTTTATGCTTCCCCCAAAGAGATGAGCACAGTTTGGGCCCCTTTCTTGCCCCCAACCCCACCTGCCCTCCACAGAAGGCACATTAGTCTGACCACATTCCAATCCCGTTAGCGAGTAGCTTTAGGAAGCTGTGAGGTCATTGCTGAGGAGGCCCCCAAGCACCTGGCATGGGGGAGGTTAGGGACATAACTCATCCTACACTGGGCACTTGTACACCTATATGGAGATTTCCCATGAACCTCACCTTGAAATCTCCATCCCAGACCAGACCGGTCAGAGCAACAGAGCACGGGAGTCATTTGCCCTGGAAATCACCAGGAGGTGCTTACAGGTACAACAGATCAAGGGTCGGCAGAGGTGGCAGCCAGGGCATGGGATGTTCCCTGCCCTCCCCTACCCTTGGGGCTGGGAGTTTCTGGGATTCCCATTAAGCAAGTCACTCCCCTGGCTGGACAGGTTGGGGAACCCTTCGAGTAGGGGACAGGAAATGACAGTGGCTGATGCAAGGGAGCTGACTGTCCTGGTGGTGACAGGGTTAATTGTAACCCCTGAGTCATCTAGCTTGTTGGCACCTTGTGCCAAGTTAAATCTGGAGTCATTTTGCGGATGGGACACCCATGGCAGTGTCTGGAGAACTTCTGGCTGTGTCCAGGATGCTTATGGCACGGGCATCATGGGGGAGATTGGCACCATGGCTGAAATGGAGTCTTCCTGGATGATATCTTGACTGATCAGTATTGTTCTGGGGCTCAAATTGCTCCCAGCTTCACTTTCACCTGCCTACCAGTGGAAAATCTGAAGGGTTGTCTCCTACAGGGGCCCTATTGGGCTACCTGGACTATGGACCAGAAGGATGTCTTGAACATGTACTGACAGTCTCCTTCCTGAAACTTGGGCAGCTCCCTTGTAGGCCCAACCACAGGGAAGGCTAGACACCTTCCATTGTCTGAGACAGAGGGGAGGGGAGGGGCTGTGAGGCCCTGAGCTCAGGGGAGTGCACACTGCTGCCATCCCATAGGGAAGGTACTTGGCCTAGATGCTCCACAGGGACCTTACCCTTTCTGAGGTAACATGGGAGTGACCTAACTCCAAAGAGGGTATAAGTTTAGCCAGAGAGTTCTGGCAGAGTCAGAGAGAGAACTCTGCAGTCCTGAGAGATGGAGAAGGGGAAAAGTACCCAGAGCTAGGCAACTTGGCTGCCCAGTGTGTCCAAAGTGACTGGCACCAGGAGAGATGCCTGCCTGCCAGGAGCTGCGTGTCAGTACTTGCCAACCCAGAATAAACAGGAGGAGGAGATGGATGGGGGGGGCCCCTACTGGGGGTGAGAGGGATCCCAGCCAACAGGATCTTTTCTTACTGCCCCATGAAAGGGCCATTCAGTATGGGTGGTTCCTGTGGCAACGAGGAGACTCACAGCCATGTGAGCACCTCTGCCCTGTATGAGAATGCTGGAACCAAGCCCCTTTTCCTGCCACCCTGTGCCAGCCTCCAGGGATGCCCCTGAGCCAGGTAATGCCCAAGACAGCCAACACAAATTAGTCTTCAACTCAGCACCAGAATTAGGTAGGCTGGGGCTGGAGAGTGGCCTGGGGCCTCAGCCCAAACCAGTTCCACCCAAGACATGATGCCATCAGGTTTACAAGAAGGAATGTGTATGTTTGTGCATCAGGGGGATGTTTAGCTTACTCCATCAGCTGCCCAGAATTACTAGAAGGACAGCCAGTTTACTGCTTTGTATTGGGACTGTCCCCATCCAGCTGATTAAACTGGTGTGAGAATGAGAATGTATAAGCCCGCTGGGATTCCTCTCATACAAGGGTTCTTCACTTTGTTTATGCCACAGACCCCTTTGGTAGTCAGTCTGGTGAAACCTATGAAGCTCTTCTCAGAACCATATTTTTAAGTGGATCAAATAAATCACATAGGATTGCTAAGGAAACCAATTATAATGAAACAAAGATGTTCGGGGTTTTTTTTTTTTTTTCCCATCCAAGCTTCTGAAATCTAGGGTCTGTGAACCCCAGGTTAGGAACCCTTGCACTAAGGAAAGGGGATGTTTTTACTTTGGAGTTGGAGGGGAGGGAGAGACATGAATTTTGAATTCCCGCTTTAGCAGCCCCATTCTAGCCCAGCTATACCCCACTGCTCAGAAGCATCCTCTACAGCAGGGATGGGGAACCTGCAGCCTCAAGGCCACACGTTCATATGTGGCCCTCTAGGTCCTTGGGTATGGCCTTTTGAATAAGTCCAAGTTTTACAGAATTTGTTCTGTGAAGCTTGGATTCAGTCAAAGGGCCACACTTAAGGACCTAGAGAGCCACATATGGCCTTGAGGCTGCAGGTTCCTAACCCCTGTTCTATGGCCTCCCAAGAGGCCAGTGTCATAAGACAGGCCATCAGATGCCAAAGCTTGTGACAGTGGCCTGCAGAATGCTAATGTGGCGGTGGAGGTGGCAGTGGTGATGGTGAGGCTTCTGGGGAGGAGCCATGAGCTTATCCCCTGAAGAAGGGCGGGACGCTGCCATGTCTGAATGGCTGCCTAGTTTAAGGGAGTTGGACTTCTGATGCCTGGAGTTTCTCTGACATTGAATTATTGATGGAGTTCTCTAACAGTGAAATAGAGCAGGACTGGACCAACTTCCCCCTTCCCCCACCATCTCTCTCCTTTAACCCCTTCTATCTGCCTCTTCTCCCCAAAGGACTGAAAAAGGGGAGAAAAGTTCCTAGTTTCTCCTCTAACCCTTCCTCAACTACCTTTTATCACACAAGTTAGAACGGCACTGCTTAAGGTTGGTGGGGGTAAAAGGCTTAGCCCTGGCCTAAGTGGTTGGAATAGGAGAATTTGTATATAATGAATTACAGGGTTGATGAGAGAAAACTCAGCAGCTGGCATGGATGAGACTCCTTGCTGATAGCCTTGGGACATCATCATGGGATTCAAGTGCCTTGTGGATGTTAGCTAGGTGGGCAGTGGGGACTATCCCTTTAAGCCCCCAAGTGGATTTCTTTTACAGCTGTTGACAGAATATATACCCCCTACCTCAAATCTGGTTTCCTAGAGATCTCAGCCAAGCCTGAAGTATTTGAGGCTTGGCACTAATTCCAAAGTGGGCTGGGCTTCTGGGCCCTTCAAATGCCCAGGGGAGGGGAGGTGGGGGAGGCTAGACAGAATCAATGCCTACTGTATCTTGCCAGTGCCTTCCACCACCACTATCCCAGTACTCCCCTGTTGATCTCAAAAGGAGGCAGGACTGGGAACCCATTGCACAAGCTTAACAGCAAAAGCAGAATTAGGATGGCGAGAGAGAGAGAGAGAGAGAGAGAGAGAGAGAGAGAGAGAGAGAGAGAGAGAGGAGTGGGCAGACGATTTATCATTACTAGAGGAGGGGAAATAGAAGAGAATTGATATAGCTAGAAGAAAGAAACCCAGAGTCCTGAATTTCCTGACTATTCCCCATAAGAGCCCCCAGATAGCCTTCAAGGAAAAGGGGGGTGTGAGCACCCATTAACACACCCAGTTCCTTTGATCTCCTGTTCCATCAACACTTCTCCCTCCCTAGTTCTTTTGGCAAGAAAGATTTGTCCTGTAGGGAGATAGCCTAGATGTCCTCAGTACAGGTAAAATAGGAAGCCTTCAAGCATTATGGGCCGAGGGAGGGGAGCACAGTGCAGTACCAGAAATGACCTGAGGGAGGAGTCAGGAGTCCTGGGTTCTAGCCGGGAGACCTGGGTTCTAGCCCCAAGCCCTGCTCCTACCCAGTTGTGGGTTTTGGTTTTTTTGTTTGTTTTGAGTTTGTTGGGGGGTTTTGGGGGTGGGGGGCAGGTTGTGAGGCAATTGGGGTTAAGTGACTTGCCCAGGGTCACATAGCTAGTAAGTGTCAAATGTCTGGTCTACCAGAGACCAAATTTGAACTCAGGTCCTCCTGATTCCAAGGCCAGAGCTCTATCTATTCTACCACCTAGCTGCCCCCCAGTTGTGTTTTTAATAAATGCTTATTGAGTTGTGTGGCCTTGGGCAAATTATATCACCCCTCTGGGTCTCCTTTTCCTCACCTGTAAAATGAGGGATGTGCATTAAATACTCTCTAATATCTAATATTTTGCATAATTCCATTCCCCTTCTGTGTTAGTCACAAGAACCTTTGAGTCAATTAGAGTTGGGAGGAAGCAAGTTACAGTGAAAGAGCCTTGGACTTGAAATCAGGAGATGTGAGCTGAGGTCCTGGCTCTACCATTATACCCTGATGTATGACCCTGGGCAGGCCTCTACCTTTTTGGCCTCATCTATATGATTTGTGGGAGTTGGACCAGAAGGAACACAATTTGGGTTCAGAGAACATGGTTCCAGATCCCAGCAAATCTCCTCTCTCTGGGTTTCACTTTCATCATTTGTAAAATGTATGGGGAGGGGGGTGTTGGACAGGCTGGTTTCTAAATCTCTGTCCAGTTCTGACTCTGTAATCCTGTGGTCTCTAAGAAGATCCACTCCAGACCCAACGCTGTGGAGTCCCGTGGGAGAGGGCAGTGCTGGCTGCAGTACTGGATTTTTGCCTCTAGGGGCCCCCTTTGCATAAGCCAAGCACTTCCATCAATCCTGGAGAATTTGTGGGATTCTTCTGAAGGTTTCTAGAGGTGTTTACTGGGACCCTTCCAGCTGTCTGCTGTAGACTGCTGTATTAGGGTCAACTTAAATACTAGGGAAGAGGAGTTCTAGAAGTTAGGCTGGGCTGGACCCTGGGCAGAGTGGTGCAAAGACTGATAGAACACTGGACCTAGAACTCAGAGAATTGTACATTTCGAGCTGGAAAGAACCTTAGATGCCATCTAGACCAATCCTATCATTGTTACAAATGAGGGCAATGAGGACCAGGGAGGGCAGGCAATAGCATCCGAGTCAGGAAATCTGGATTCTGGTTCCTGGCCTTGCCACCGATGAGCTTTGTGACTACCTCCCTGAGCCTCAGTGTCTCCATCTCTAAAACAAAGCAGCTGGATGGCTACAGTTTTCTCTACCTATAACATTCAATGATTCTAAGATGGCTAAGTGCATCTGTCATGACAGTGCCGGGCCCACAGCTTGCACCAGAAGGATGTTTCTCCCCTCAAAGGCATGCCACCCAATGTGTCTGCTGTCTCATGAGTCTTGCTTTTTGGAGGCCTCAGTTTGAAGTGAGGAGAGCTTCACTTAACCCCTTCAACTCCATCAGCTACTCCAGAAAGCTTATCTAAGGGAATGGGACTGTCTTATCTTTTCCTATGGGAATAGGACATTATATGTGGCATGGAGGGGACTGGGGACTGAGTAGGGTGTCTGCATGCTTGTTTGTCTGTGTGTGTGTGTGTAACACTGTAAAATGAAGAGATTGCTTTTGTGTGGCCTCTATAAGTAATAAATTAGTCACTCTGAGACTGTCAGAGCTGGAATGGGCCTTAGAGATCTTTATGTCCAGTCTTGAGAAGAGGGAGGCTGGGAAAGATTTAAGTGACTTGTCCGCAATCTCATTACTTTAGAGTCAAGTCAGGTGTCTAAATTATATAGCTGTATTTATACCTTTGTGTGTGTTTCCCTGCATTAGTGTCTCAGTGTAAAAATCTGGGAGGTGGTCTATGGTTTAGTCACAGTTGAGAGCCCAGACAGAGGCCCAACTGAGGATGGGGAAATTAAGGGAATGGATGGGAATGGTGGAGGAGCTAGTCCTAGAGGGCTGTCTTTGACAGCTGCTTCCCTTATTTTACAGCCCATGCCGCTCCCAGCCCCCACTGAGCTTCGCCCTGAAGGATGTCCCAGCTCTCCTCCACCCTGAAGCGCTACACAGATTCGTCACGCTACACAGATACCCCTTACGCAAAGTCCAGCTATGGGACCCATACCCCTTCCTCCTACGGAGCCAACTTGGCTGCATCCTTCTTGGAGAAGGAGAAACTCAGCTTCAAGCCAGCACATCCCTCGGGATTTCTCAATACCCGTCCCCGTACATACGGCCCTGCCTCCATCCTGGACTATGACCGAGGCCGTCCCATGCTGAGGTCTGAGGTCGGAGGTAGCAAAAGAGGAGAGAGCCAAAGTAGGATCAGTGAGCGGCCTTCTGGGAGCGGACTCAATGGAGGCAGCAACCTGCCTTATGGAATGCCCAGTAGCTCTTTCAACTACCTACCTGTAAATTCCCGGGACCAGGTAGTGCCCCTGACCCAGAAGAAGTCTAACAGTCACTCAGACCTGGCCCGAGATTTCTCTGGCCTTCGGACCACAGACAGCTATAGAATGGACCCTGGCCCAGGGCGGAGCCCAATGCTTGCGCGGACCCGAAAGGAGTTGTGTGCACTACAGGGGCTATACCAGGCGGCCAGTCGATCTGAGTACCTATCAGACTACTTGGAGAACTATGGGCGCAAGGGCAGTGCCAGCCAGGGGTCAGCCCCAAGAGCCCTGGAGGCCCTCAGCCCCACCTACCGACCAAGTGGCCGCTATAGCCTGTGGGAAAAGGGTAAGGGCTCCAGCCCTTCCACCTCCCCAGGGCGCGATGTTATGGTGAGTTAACCCCATGGGCACTGAGGCAAGGAAGGCAATCCCCCAGGGTGTGGGGAGGATCACCAAGGAACTTTATGTACTGAGCTCCTATACCTTCAGTTTACTGATAAATTGACTGAGATGGGTCAGAGGGATAGAAAACTTTCTAACCTCCATTGCTATCTAAGTCCCTGTTGAGGGGAGGGAGTAGGAATAGGGGGAGGGTGTCACAATATGACCAGGCTCCCTATTGGTCAATGCTTGATGAGAGAGTAAGGGGACCTAGCCCACTCTTGTCCCTGACTGAACCCTGGCTTCGGTAAGCTGTGTTATAGGGTTGGGGGGAGGGAAGGAGATGGGGACGGAGGAGGAGCTGGATGACGCTCTCAGGAATGCAGAGCCTCCAGAACCACTGCTATTCTTATCCTCTCCTTTTCCATGGAGTCTGCCAGACCCCAGGGTCTCCAGAAAGCTCTGCTGCTTCTCCTTTTCCTATATATTAAGGCCTCCAGACCCTTTCTAGACCAGGACCAACTGTAGCTCCCTCCACACCAGATAACCATCACACCTGGAACTCCTCAACTTCTTGTTGTGTGGGAAAGAGATCAGCAGCAGAACTTGTAGGCAAAAAGAGGGGCCAGGCTGCTTTGGGTTGCTGCTTCTGTCTTTTTCTGCCTCCCCATCTTCTTTTGGGGTCATGTTCCCATATTTAGCTGTCTTATGGCCTTACATCATCAGTTGGGGGAGCCAGAGAGATAACCAGCTGGCTTTCAGAGTCCTGTATTTGGACAACTGAGCTTCTTAAGTGACTTATTGCTATTTCATAAACCTAAAGAATGGCAGAGAAACTTAATGCGGTCTTTTGAACATGCTCATGACTTGCCTCGACCAGAGTGCATAGGAGTTCATAGGAAAGGACTCACTTGGAGAATATTCAAGAGTTGATGTCACACCTCTGTCCTCTGAACTCTCTTAATACTTTATGTGGTCTAGGACAGTCATGACAAATTTTTATGAGGCCAAAATAGATACAGACATGGAATGTGTCATGACAATGGAATCCTGATAGGACAGTCTGATATCTTCATCGACAAACATTTATTGGCCAGTCTTCTATTGTGTAAGATAGAAAGATGTAAAACTCACTTCCCGTTGTCAAGGAGCTTATCATATAGTTTCGAAGACAGGACATAGTCATATAATAGTCACTAAAACACACAACCAGTATTGATATATAGTAAGATCCAGACCGAATGATGCACAGAACAATGCTTTAGGAATTCAGAAGAGGAAGACATTATTGTGGACAGGATGGACAGAAAAGGTTTGACTTCATCTGGCCTTTACTAAGTGATGGGAAAGAAGGAAGGAAGGAAGAAAGGAAGGGAGGGAGGATCTATAAAGCACCAATAGGTACTTCTTACTATTGTGCTAAGTGCTTTAGAAGTTATCTCATTTAATCCTTACAACAACGTTGAGAAAGTAGGTACTCTTAATCGTATTTTACAATTGAAGAAACTGAGGCAGAGAGAGGTTAAGTGACTTATCCAGAGGCCAGTTTTAAACTCAAGTCTTCTTGACTCTAAGCCTAGCATTCCATCCACTGCCCCACTTAGTTGCCAGTAAGACTTAAATAACTGGAAAGCAGTGGGGTAGGACGTCCTAGGCAGGGAAAACAAATGTGGGAAGATGGGATTGGGCAAAGTGTGGTAGGGAACATTAAATCATTTGGATCATAGCAGAGAGTACATCTAATAGAGTAGTGGGATATGAAGTATGTCATGACATAGGAAGTATTTAATGACTAGAGACTACCTGTGTGTGTGTATATATATACATACATACATGAAATTTCATATTTTTGTCAGGTTAGTGGATGTGTTATATCAAATGGACTGAGTTCTAATTGTTTGGCTCTCCTACAAAAGTGGCCTCTTCCTCTCAGTTCCAGACCTCTAGAACAGCTTCAACTTTGCACCAGAGAAGGAAGTAGTGAAGTGACAAATTCCACTGGTGCAGATACAACCACCTGCAGATTCTTCTCTTGTTACTGGGAGTGACCTACCATACTCTCAAGTAGCAGAACAGTCCTCTAGAGCTATTTAAACAAACATTTAGTAAGCACTTCTTCTGTGCAAAGTGCTGTGCTAGGCATTGAGAGCACAAATATATGAAATTAAACAGTTCCTGTTCTCAAGGAGCTTAAAATTTCAAAGGAGAAAGGACATGTACAAAGATAACTTGATTACAAGGTAAAGTGTGCTAAGTGCAAGGAGAGACCCAAACCGAGTTCTGTGATTTTAAGAGGAAGAGAAATAATTTCCAGCTTAGAGACTAAGGAATAATAAGGAATACTTCATAAAAGAGGTGATATCTGAGAAAGAAGGGAGGGAGGAAGGAAGGATGGAAGGAAAGGAAGGAGGGTGGATCCCTCGATCTATGGTTTCATCAGTGTGTGAATTCCTGCCTCCACTGCAACTAAACTATCCTTAACTTAGTAGAGAAATACAAGGGAGTTGCCTGAGACTCTGAACTTAAGTGACTTGCCTATGGTCACACAATTCACGTCAAGGTGAGATTTGTAGCCAGATTCAAATGTGACTTCAGGTCTAGTCCTCTATTTACTACACCAGGCTACTCTTCAGCTGTTATTTATATAGTAAGTTAAAGCTTGCAAAGTGTTCTACATACATTATTAACTCATTGAATCTCACAACCCTGTGAAGTAGATACTGCAAGTATTATTACCCCCATTTTACAGATGAAGAAACTGAGGCACACAGATTAAGTGATACTACATTAAATGTGACCATAGAGTCACAACTAGCAAGTTGTCTGAATCAGCATTTGAACCCAGGTTTTTTTGATTCCAAGTCCAGGACTAAACCAAGCTGCCTGCCTCAAGAGAAAAGTGCCAGAGATAAAGAAAGGGTCACTAGTTAGGAGTAGCCTATTTTGCAGTAGTCTAGGGCAGAGGTGATGAAGGGCTGAAAGATGCAGGACTCATTTTTGAGGGTTTTTCAGGCCTTCGTTACCTCTGGCCAAGACAGTTGAAGTAGCCTTCCAATAATGGGTCTCCCTGTCTCCAGTCTCCCCTCTTCAATCTAACCTCTACACAATTGCCAAATTAATATTCCTAAAACACAGGTCTGACCATGTTGGTCCCTTGTTCAAGAAGTGAGTCCCTAGTGCCTGAAGATAAAATAAAAATCCCTCTTTTTGGCATTGCCAGTCTGGTTTCAGCCTACCTCTCTAGACATATTACTCACTTTCCCACCCTCAGTGTTCTAGGCAAAGAGTCTCCTTGCTGTTCTCCAGAATGTGGTATTCCATCTCTCATCTCATGCCTGGAACACACTCCCTCCTCACTGAACCTCAGAGAATTTCTAATTTGCTTAGAGGCTCAGTTCATGTGCTGCCTTGGGCATGAGAACTCTCCTGACTTCCCCCGGTTGCTAGAATTCCTCCCCCGCAAGAAATTCTATTCACTTTGTACATATTCTCTATTTACTTCTCTCTGTTGGTGGTGTTTCCCCCAATGGAATGTAAGGAGGCCATGAATTGTCCTGGTTTTGTCTTTATAGCCACAGACCTAGCCCGGAGCCTAGCATGAGCTGGTGCTTAATAAAGCATCATTTGTTGAATAAATGAATGGTTGAATGTAATGAATGAATGAATTGTAGTGGGGGAGTGTAAAGGAAGTGACAGATGCAGATCTATTGCAGAGGTAGCTATTGTCAGGACACAGATCCTAACCTTGGGTGACTGAGAGAAGGATGGAAGGGCCATTCATAGAAATCAAGGTTGGAGAAAGGGCAGATTGGAGAGGGATAGTGGGCAGGAAGATAAGGAGGTCACTAGGATCTTAGAAGCCTCCAGTCCCACCTTCCCCCATTCCCAACTCCCCAGTTGTGTAGATTAGGAAACTCAGGTTTGGAAACAAGGTGAATTTGAGATCCTGGCTGGGTCAGCTCAGTAAATAATGTGTTAAAGTGCTTTTCAAACTGTGAAGTACTATTTATATAAGTGGAAGTTACCATTTATAATGATGATATAATGATAACGATGGCATTACCATCATTGTCATGATGATTAGGTATCTAGGAGGAAGTTAAAATTCAGAATTAGACAAGCCAAGACTGGAAAGAAATTCAGATCAAAAACGAAAAATAAAATAGCCCCTGCCCTCAAGAAAGTTACATTCTTTTGGATAGGAGCAAGGGGATACATTCAGACAGATAATAAATACGAGGTTATTCCGAAGAAAGATAACTCTATTTTTGAAGGAAGAAGTGCGTCCCAGTTGCCTGAGGATAAAATACCAAGCCCTCTGTTTGGCATTGGAATGCTAGCCCAGTGGAACATAATCTGAGCCTTGAGGGAAAATGAAGATTATTAGAAGCAGGGGCAGCTAGGTGGCGCAGTAGATAGAGCACCGGCCCTGAAGTCAGCAGTACCTGAGTTCAAATCCAGTCTCAGACCAAACACTTGACACTTATTAGCTGTGTGACCCTGGGCAAGTCATTTAACCCCAACTGCCTTAAAAAAACAAAAACAAAAGATTATTAGAAGCAGAGATGAAGGGGATATAGGAAACAGCCTTGTACAAAGGCACAAGATGGGAAATAGAATGCAAAGTTCAAGTAATAACTAGTAGTCTAGTTTGTCTGGAATGTAGAATACATGAAGACAGGAGATGATATGAGATAACACCAATAAGGTAGGTCAGAGCCAGGCTGAGAAGTCTGTATTTTATTCTAGAGAAAATAGGATATCATTGACAAGTCTTGAGAAAGAGAATTACATAGTCAGGCCTGTGCCTGAGGAAGATTATTTTGGCAGCTGTGTAGAGGAGGAGGGTAAGGGGAGAGACTGGAAGCAAGGGGATCAATTAGGTGGCCACTGCAATAGTCTAGGACAAATGAAAAAGTAATGAGGGCCTGAACTTGGGGGGAGTGACGATGTATTTGAAGAGAAGGTAAAAGGACTTGGAGATACAGTCAACAACTTGGCAACTGACT